TTCTATAGCAATTTTTCTATAACGCGATTTTCTACAGCGCAAGGTCTCACAAGAACACAACTATTGCGTTAAATGAGAAATACCTGTAACTGAGGAGACTGTAGAGGTATTGGTGATGATCTTTCAGGAATCCGTAAAGGTCCCAGAGGACTGGGAAATGGTTCATGTAATACCCCTGTTTAAGAAGGGAGGGAGGCAGAAGATGGGAAATTATAGGCCGATGAGCCTGACCTTGGCTGTTGGTAAGATTTTAGAGCACATTATTGAGGATGAGATTGCAGAGTACTTGGAAGTGTATCGTAAAATAGGGCTGAGTTAACATGGCTTTGTCAAGGGGAGGTCATGCCTGACAAATCTGTTAGAATTCTTTGACGAGGCAATGAGCAAGTTATACAAAGGGCAGCCAGCGGACATGATCTATTTGGATTTCCAGAAGGCTTTTGACAAGGTGTCACACAGGAAGCTGCTAAATAAGGTAAGAGCTCATGATGTTAGGGAAAGGTATTGTCGTGGATAGAGGATTAGCTGACTGGCAGAAGGCAGAGAATAGGGATAAAGGTGTCTTTTTCAGGATGGCAGCCAGTGACCACTGGAGTTCCGCTGGGGTCTGTGTTGGGACCACAACTATTCACATCAGACATTAACAATCTGGAACTGACAGCTCTGTTAATAAGTTTGCAGATGGTACAAAGATAAATAGAAGGACAGATAGCAGACGGCTGCAGAAGCACTTGGACAGGCTAGGAGAGAGGGCAAAGAAGTGGCAAATGGAATACAATGAGGAAAAGTTTGAGGATGCACTTTGGTAGGAAAAGTAGAGGTATAAACTTTTTTCTAAATGGAGAAAGACCTGAATTCTGAGGCACAAATGGACTTGGGAGTCCTAGTTCAGGATTCTTTTGAGATTAGCATGTAGGTTCAATTGGCAATGTTAGCATTCATTCCAAGAGGACTAGAATACAAGAGCAGGGATGTACTGCTGCAGCTGTATAAGGCTTTGTTCAGACCACATTTGGAATATTGTGCGCAGTTTTGGCCCCCATATCTCAGGAAGGATGTGCTGGCATTGGAGGGCATCCAGAGGAGGTTTACAAGAATGATCCTGGGAGGAAGGGATTTTCATATGAGGAACATTGTGGACTCTGGCTGAGGGAGGATTTTATTCAAATTTACAGAATACTGAAAGGCCTGGGTAGAGTGGATGTGGAGAAGGTATTTCCATTTGTCGAACAGACTGGGACCCAAGGGCACAGCCACAGATTGAAGGGACAACCCTTTAGGAGGAATTTCTTCAGCCAGAGGGTGGTAATCTTTGGAATTCATTGCCAAAGTGGGCTGTGGAGGCCAAGTCATTGAGTATATTCAAGACGGAGACAGATAGGTTCTTAATTAGTAAGGAGATCAAGTGTTGTGGGAAGAAGACAGGAAAACGGAGTTGAGAAAAGTATCTGTTATGATTGAATGGCAAAACAGACTTGGGCCGAAAGGCCTAATTCTGCTCCTGTGTCTAATGGTCTTATTGCTCCCACATAATTACTGCTAAACATCCCCCTTGGCCTTGGTAAGCTAATATTTATATTTGACCCATAGTAAATTTGTCCATTATGGTAAAAAGATGCAGTTATTAAACCAAATTACATTGGTCCTTTTCTTGGATGTTTGTTTAACTTCAGTTTAGATTCAATTTCAATCTAATCATAATCATTTTTTTCACTATCTTAAAAATGTAAATTAAAAGTGAGAGATGCAATGGTTTAACTTCCTGATGTTCTGTACATGAATGCTTTAATGCAATTGACTGCATACCTACTTGCTGATATTATTTACTGCTTCATGCCAAGACATGTACTCAATCTCTGGCCACAGTGCAACAGAGTTAAACTGTCACAAACCCTCAAACAGCAAATCCTATCATGTAGATTACTAGTTATTTGCAGGTAGCTTCCTTTGAGGACAGCAGGAAACACGCTTGCTTTGCAGCCAACTGCAGATTCCTATGCTAATGTTCAAACAGCAGTGAAAGAAAGTGAATCTATGATTCATTGTGATAAAAATTTGCTTCAACAAGTGGCAGTAGGATGAAAGCAATATATATTTATAATGGGTACTACTAATATTTTACTGATATATTCAGAGAATGATCCTAAAAATGTCATGATTTTGTGCCTTTGAGTAACCCTGTAATAAGTCACATTCATCACAAGTCACATGATTTAGAGAACCAGTGAGCCAAATGACTTCCTTCTATACTGTAATGATTCTGTGATTCATTAACAAAAATGGGACTCCTCCTATGATAGACAGACTACTCTAATCTTCCTGTCCGCTCCAATTAAAAGAGCAGTGTGAATTCTGAGAATTCCAAGTAATGCATATATACGCAAACCTTGAAACCCTTGCCCTATCTTAATTTGCTGGCTACAAGCAGAAGAATGAACATCCAAAGACCCCCTTACAAGAAGTGGAAATGAAGTTAGTGTTTTACAATAGTCTCCTCATGTCTGAAATGCTCAGATAGCCACTTACTCCTTGTGTATAAATTCATCCCCTCGCTTGTTCCCCTGTCCTCTTCTATCATTATGCTTTCCTTCCTTATTTTCCTTTCTCCTAGTTGATTACTCAGTCCGCCACCCTTCTCCTTTCTTATATAGGGTTTTTCTTCTGAATACATGCCATTTGCTTCTCATTGTTCCCTTAATTGTAAAGAGTGTATTTTTCAATTTTTGAGCATTTTTGTTTGCTGAGAAGGACTGCTTTAAAAAACAATGATTGCAAAAAGGATTACAGCACTTTTTAAAAGCAAGATACCTGACACTTATTGTAAATGCTGTTTGTTTAAGCAGTGCCTAGTCTGAAGATGAGACGTTGTTTGTCCTCGGCATGCGGCAATGCTCTGTCACCATGCCCTCTCTCCCCTCAATTCTCTGTCACCATGTCCTTTCTCCCCTCCTCCCATCCCAGTGAGACTGTCTGCTCTTTCAAATCTGGCAGTTAGACAGACCATTGTTCTGCCATTCTCACATTCTGATCATTTAATCTGAACTATCAACATATTTGCCCCATCAGCACTCCACACCTACCACCTCCACAACTTCCATGACCACCCCTCCCTCCCAAAACTATAGTATAAATGCTGCCCCTTCCACACTTCACTTCAGCTCTGATGATGAGTCATCTAGACTTGAAATGTTAGCTTGCTCTCTCTCCACGGATGCTGTCTGACTAGCCATGATCTCCAGCATTTGTTTTCAGTACAGATTCCAGCCTGTAATTTGCTCCCAACTTGTGATTCCAAGTTTGGTCAGAAACCATCAGCTCTCCAAAAAGAAAGGAGCTGTCCTTTTCATAGCAGTAAAATCAGAGACCTTCTAAATATGAACCAGTTGTTTCCTGTGATTCCTGCGAGCAAATGAAAGTACCTGGAGAAAGAAGATTGAGGAGCAGCAGGTCCTTACAAGCCAAAAGGATAATCTCAGCCAACCATGTGAACGGGAGATTGAGCTACCTTCCTTGTCTTTCCCTCTGCCTATTATACCCATGCTTTTTTTGTGTCTGTCTGTATATCTGTGTATGAGAAATTTTATAAGGAGGATTAGAGTTTTAACTCTTAAGAGTTATATGTCAACAGTTCATCGTTGTCTACCAATAGCTAGAATCTATTTATTTGTCATAAATATTAATACTTGTTACATACAGAAACCTTATCTGTGCTTTCTATCAACCTGAGTCTAAAAGACAGATAAATTGGGGAACTTTACACATTTCTGCGATGACTCCAGAAATAGCCAGCCTTGATTTACAGTACACTACTCCAGTAGGTTTGACATAACCAATACATTCCTCAGTTTAATCAATGCCACCAAAGATTTGCTTATTGTTCAACTCAATGCTGTTTGTGTGATCATGCTTTGGACCAAACAACTGTCATGTTCACCTCCATAATAAGAATGAATGTCCTTCAAAGTAATTAATGTGCAATGTTTGAGGCTTGTTGTGGCACTAGATGGTAGGAAGTTCTTTCTTACTAATAAGCATCAAGCAATGGGATTTGTTACTTATTTGAGTATTAGGCAACATCCATAATTCCTACCCCTGAAAGTAATATCAGAGCTTTAAGGACCCAATCTATAAAGGACAAATGCCAGAGTCAGTCATGCCTGTCCTAAATCGAAGGTGAGGTTAAATATTGCTGCTTTTCAAGTTCCCACACTTAAAATCTGTCATCAGACTTGCTTCTGGATTAGAAGAGGAGGATGAAAGTGCAACTTCAAAATGAAGGAAAAATCAGTTCCAAAATTAACCTACACATTCACCCAGGGAATGCAGACACAACATTTTTTTTTGTTTGTAGTTACACTTTTATTTACAATACATTTAAAACAGTATCTCAACAGCTTGGATAACAAGGTGTAGAGCTGGATGAACACAGCAGGCCAAGCAGCATCATAGGAGCAGGAAGGCTTTCCTTAGAAGAGGCTTCGCAGTGGGGTTAAAATTGTATCAGAGATAGTAGGAACTGCAGATGCTGGAAAGTCTGAGATAACAAGGTGTAGAGCTGGATGAACACAGCAGGCCAAGCAGCATCATAGGAGCAGGAAGGCTTTTCCTTAGAAGAGGCTTCGCAGTGGGGTTAAAATTATATCAGAGATAGTAGGAACTGCAGATGCTGGATCTTTTGGATGTGCAAATCACTAGCATTGCTAAATAAACCCTTATACAACATGATACATGTGTCGAAGGCTGTTCAATCCTTTTCATATCTTAAAAAGCTATGTATATTTCTGTGTAGAGATTGGAAGCCTTGATTTTTAATACATAGTTATAGATTATAGATGAATTGATTTTTTTTTAAAAAAGCCAAAATATTTTCAAAGTTCTATAACAATAACTTTTTTTTTACAAGTATAACATTAAAATATTCAAACCAGTGGTGAAATATCCGTCCATGGAAAGAACAGTGTTAAGTGCGATTAGAGTTCTGGCTGCGCAGTGTCCTCATTTTCTTTCTTGAGAAAAGGCTGAAGGGACGTGAGGGAGGAGTTTAGGAAGCACAGATTGTATGTGGGCAAGCCTTAATTGACTGGGGTCATTTGCATTCACTGAGCTGTTGGAAGGGACTTTACTGCTGCAATCGGAGACGGTGAAGCGGGGAGGAGGGGAAACCTTCCCAAAAGCAAGGAGAGGTCGGCAGAAGAGGGAAAAAAGGAATCGGCTGCAACCCCAGAAAAGAGGTGGGGGAACGCCATGGCACAAGTGGATATGGAACAACTGAGGAGCAGAGGCGCCGGCAAAGCCATCGCGGTGCTAACCAGCGGAGGAGATGCACAAGGTAACATGTTTACAGTCTCCTTCCAATAGGTTTGGTTTTTACCGCACCCACGTCCCCGGACAAAAAAAAAATCAGGTACTAAGGTCGCCGCAGCAGCAATGTGCGGGCGTGACCGGCAATTTCATCCACTACTCGCCACCCCCTCCCCCAGGTAAAACATCAGAGAGATATCGAACAGGATGAATTTTCACATACAATAAATAAAAGCACCGGGATTATGGCTAAGTGACGAATTAAAGACTGCATTTTCCCTTCGGGGGAATAAAAAAAGCTTTAAAATTTCTCTCAGTCATCCGGAGGATGGGGAAAGTGGGATGGTCGCCATTGAAGCGATTCATGCTTTTTTTTAAAAAAAGAAACGGATAGCAGGTTTTGTTTACTCCATAATTCGACGTTTATCCGCTTTTGGGGAATGGTTGGTCTGTGCAGGTCGGGTTCAGTTCAGAGGTAATTGAGAATTGATGGGGTTTTGTTTTAATAGTGCCTTCATATAAAGTCCTCTCCCCGCCACCTGGCCAGGCCTTTCGTTTTATAGTTTTCGTGTCAGATTGGGTCCTTCCTTTTAAAAAAAAAAAAATCTCCCACTTACTAAGTGAATAATGTTAAAGATGTGACTGACCCGCTGCCTCTGGCTTTCCTTGAACTCTAACGGACAGAGCTCGAGCCCAACGGTCAAATCCAGCCGTTAATATTTTTTTTTCCGGGCTCCCGCCATCATTGATATGGGCACACGCCGGTTCGAACGGAGGAAGGGGTTTTTTTTCCCCCGTGACCTGGAAACTACTTCCGCCGTTTACGATTTTTTTTTTTGTTTCAGTTTGTACATTATCCAACCGATTCGTATTTTGATAGTTTTTAACATTGAAAAAGAAAATCACCCCTTGTTTTCATTGCCAGTTTCAATGATGGCGGGTGAGTCACGTGGTGACGGACGTGCTGCCTGTCAGGTTGTCCGTTCACGCGTGCGCTAGGATTCGCCAACCCATAAATAGGCCATTTGGCCCATTATGTCTGTGCGGACCAACAAGCACCAAACTATACTAACCCCATTTACCTTGCGCCTGGTCCATAGTCTACCATGCCCTGGTATTTTAAGTGCTCACCTGGATGCTTCTTAAATGTTGTAAGAGTACCTGCCTCCCTCAGGCAGCATGTTCCATATCTCTACTACCCTCTGGGTGAATTTTTTTCGCCCTATGATCTCCACTAAACCACTTGCTCCTCACCTTTTCTTGTGCCCCCTTATCTCGGACACGTCTGCCACGGGCAAGAGGTTCTTACGATCTGCTCTGTCTATGCCTCTCGTTGTTTTGTGTACCTTAATCAGATTTCCCTTCAGCCACTTTCTGCTCCAAGGAAAACAACTCCAGTCTATCCGGTCTCTCCTCATAACTGAGACTTTTCTTCCCAGTCAACATCAAGGTGAATCTCCTCCGTACCTTTTCCGGTGCAATCACGTCCTTCTGATAGCCCGGTGACCAGAACTGCACACTATATTCCATTTGTTGCTGAACCAATGTTTTATAAAGTTGTAACAAAACTTCCATGCTTCTATATTCTATGCCCCAGCTAATGAAGGCAAACATCCCATATGCCTTCTTCGCCACCCTATGTACCTGTGCTGACACCTTCAAGGATCTTTGAACTTATGCACCAAGGTCCCTTTATTCCTCTGTGTTCCTCGGGACTTAACATTCATTGTGCTGGGTCAGACTGCTGCAACTCAGTAGGAGACTGATTTCTACACTGCTTCCCCCAAGAATTTACTCAAGGTTGTTGCTGCTGCTGCTACCACCATCTGCCCAGGTGAACCATATGAACTAGGAGTAGGGACTTCAGTCCCCCACCTCCCTGCCGATCCTGCTCCACCATTCGATACCGTCATGGCTGATCTCACCTAAGCCTCCACTCCCCTTTTCTGCTGCCACTCCCCATAATTCTTCAACTTATCTCCTTTATAAACTTATCCAAATGTTCCAGCATCTGCTGCACTCTGGAATAGTGAATTCCACAGATTCGCAACCCTTTTGAGAGAAGTAATTTCCCCTCATCTCTGTTTTAAATCTGTTAACCCTTATAAACTGACCTCTTGTTCTAGATTGCCCCAAATGAGAAAACATCCTCTCTGTGCCCCCCTTATCAATTCCCTTTAGCATCTTGTACATCTCAATTAGATCTCCTCTTGTTCAAAACTCAAGTATATGAATCATATTTTAAAAGAAGCAAGTAACCAGTTGTGGCATTTCTGAAACCAGGCAACCAATGTTAAAAGTGTGAGATAACACAGTGTGGAGCTGGAGGAACACAGCAGGCCAGGCAGCATCTTGGCCTGCTGTGTTCCTCCAGCTCCACACTGTGTTACCTCAGACTCCAGCATCGGCACTTCTGACATCGGAGATAGTAAGAAGTGTGTTTCTTTTCTCGACATGCAACCTCATATTTTCAAGTCTATGTGCTTGGCCAAAGCTAATTTCAGACAAGGTCCACCTCATTTATGTTTCTTTGAAGCTGCCGGCTCTATTTGAGTCTTGGAGTTATAACTTCAACTCATCCCTGCTCTAGTTTACATTCTGGGTATGGACACAATACAAATGTACATTCTCGTGCCTGCTGACCTCCATTCAATCTGTCGCATTTCTAACCTATCCTTTATTCTTTTCCCCAAGAAAATCTCACTGCTATTAAATGAACTAACTTTAGCAAGTGTGAGATTACTGTGGCATAAATTCTGAGTTCAACCTCATGCTGACCTGTCTGCTTTTTTTGTAAGTTTCCAGAAACTTCTAAAATGCGAAGGACATTCTGAGAAGTTATTGATGAGTCAAGGCACATTTCATAATCATGCTTGCCATTTTTAACGCACTTGCTGCAGAAGGCAAGTGCTTACATTTGTATAGCATTTATAAAACATCACAAAGTAATTTGCAGCCAAATCACCTTTACTGTAGCTGTGGTAATGTAGCAAACTCCCAGAAACAGAAACCTGGCAGTGATCAGGTAATCAGGTCAAATTACATTGCTTGAAAAACTACTATTGGCTAATACATCAGGGAGAACTCCTCTGCTTTCTTTCAAATATGAAATACCATGTAATCTTTTATGTCTGTTTGAAAGGGCACGTGGTGCCTCAGTTTAGCTTTAGTTCTGTGTTCCCTGACTACTAATGGGGAAGTGATGGCCTAATCATAGTATGGCTAGACATGATCCAGGGACCAGGGTAATATCTGGGGACCTGGGGTCAAATCCTGCCACAGCAGATGGTTGAATTTGAATTTAATAAAAATCCGCAATTAAAAGTCTAATGATCATGAAAACATTACCAGTTGTTGGAAAACACCACCTGGTTCACCAATGTCCTTTTAAGGAAGGAAATAATGTTCTTAACCTGGTTCGGCCTACATGTGACTCCAGACCCACAGCAATGTGGTTGACTCCTAACTGCCGTCTGCGCAATTATGGATTGGCAATATTCCCACATACCATGAATGAATCATTTTTTAAAAAACTACTGCATGGAGTCTCCATTTATATTTTGCATTCAAGCCCCAGAGTGGGAATTGAACCTGGGAATGTTGTGCCTGTGAACATACTAACTACTGAGCCAAGTATAATTTGCCTTTTCTGTATTTACTTTTGATCTTTGGAATTGAGTAGGAGCTCTGTAATTGGAATGTTATTTCTATTGTCATCTTTCCCATTGCTGGGTATTGTCTGGCGTGTCAGTACATTTAACTTGTGTCCATGACATTTTCCCTCCAATGCAACTGTCTTATATACAGCAATTGTAACTTTTACCAAAGAACTTTTGGTACCATTTCTCAAAGGTACTGATGCTCCTATCAGAGAGTTTCATCAGGTGAAGTTACCTACTAGCTATTTTTGAGAAATTTAGAGAGAGACTTGATCAGTGTCCTGTTTCGTTTAGTCTCAAATTTCAACGGTCCCAACATCTGCAGCTTTTCTGGGGGTCTGACTATCCAAATATTCACTGCCATTTCTCAAAAGTTCTTCCAGATAACATTGACAAGATGGATAAGGAGTATCTATCAGTGATCTAATCAAAAAACTCGATGGTCAGGGCAGATGTGATCTAATTTCCCCGAATCTTTGTATCGCCTCATACTTCCATACTTCACATCCGTTGGCAGTGAAACCCTTGTTTGCATACACCGCCTCTTGCCCTAGCCTAGTATTCTTCACTCTCTTTTTAAACTGCCTACATCCTGGACTGCAGTACACTTTTCCCCTCCTCAAGATTGTCTTCCCACCCAAGTACTTTCAGTCATTTGCAGCCAGGAGAACTTGTCATGCAGGGAGACTGACAAACGCACCCTGTGGGATTTGTAATTTAGTTGCGGAGGGAGGGGATGAAGCAGTCCCTCATTGAAAGGCACTCAGCACTTGATCAAATGTCCTGTCATCAGGAAGGTGGGCACCCGCTTAGAGCCGTCTCCTGCCCTTCCTCTTCCTCTTGAATCCCTCCCCTCTGCTCCCAACCATCACCAACCCACCCTCCAAAACTCTAGAGTGGGACTAGAACAGACAAGATTTTGAATCTGAAGGATAAGTTTGAAATGCTGAGCCACAGATGACGCTGCAGTGGTTTCCTTTGCCCCCAGTGCGTTCAATTTTCAATCCTGGATTTTTTTTCTACTTTCGTTTGATAATTTAAAAAGTTTAGTTAGAACGTTCTCCATCTCTTTGGGTGAATTTTTATGCAGTCCGCTAGCAGTAAATGTCGATTACAGGCCTTGACAGACAGGCTTGTGTTTTCATTTGCCCCAGAGAAAACTAAGTTTGAGGCCAGCCTGGCTACAATGCAGTGCAAATCAACCATTAAATTGTGTATTTAATACCCAGTGTTCCCAGTGCTACGGCTTGCAGCCTCCATTCAAATCTTTTGTTTCCACAACTATCCCACGCAGTGAGGTCACAAAGAAACGATATCTGAAAATATGTTGAAAAACAACGTTCAAATGAGTTATTGATGTTGATGCCTTACACTGGGGTTAATGATAAGGAAGCACCCTGAAACTAGCACTTACTATAAAGTCGCACCTATGCTAAGTCTCTGAAAAGCAAGTTTACTGGTTGGCATGGCAGCTTTCCGAATCACAATTAACATAAGCTGAATGGTTTAACTATTAGAGTTGACCTAGATAAGAGGTTGGGAAGAAGATTTTACAGAATGAAGTTCAAAAAAAAATGTTGCTCCTGGATCAGTAGACTTTTTGAAAACTCAAACCTGGTAAGCATACAATTGGCTGTTTTTAGCATCACAGATAGCAATATAATAAATTAGAATATAGTAAATCACCCACACATTTCAATATTGCGCCATTTCCTTCCTTATTTCATCAGCTCATGTTGCTCTCATCAGTACCAGCACTATAAGTAACAGTCCAGTAACTTCACCTCAGTATGTTAGGCAGTTCACTGCAGGCAGACTGCAAGATCTGAAGGATCGTAGCTTTGTGCTGAAATAGAACCTTGGCCCTTCTCTGAATTACTTAATCATAAAGTACTTTTTAAAATACATAATTGCTCCACAAAATATTTCCTGAAGGTAGCAGTGTATTATGCGATAGGGAATGCATCAATCGGTTCAGATCATAATTGAACATTCAAGTACCAGAGTGCGAGGATGTTTATTTTGTGAACCTCGTATCATGAGGTATGAAATCATAGTTAGAATCAACCATCCCCATTTGTCATGAGGCCCTAATAGTTTGGTTCTGAGGAAGGTTCACTGGACCCGAAACGTTAACTCTGTTTTTTACCTTCACAGATGCTGCCAGACCTGCTGAGCTTTTCCAGCAACTTTGTTTTTGTTCGTAGTTTGGTTACACTCTTGTTTCTCCTTTTTATCCTCCTGTCGATTTTTTTTTTTCCTTTCTGCTCCCTAATTTAAAATTATATCAAAAGACAAACAGCTGTCAATGCAAAAATGGACTGACGAAATAGCTCAATTGGGAGCCAGCATGGACTTATTGGGCCAAATGGCCTCCTGTATCATATCCTGACTGACATTTCTCCCTCAGCCTGTAGGACCAGAACAAATGAACTTGCCGTGCATTTGATTAAGGTTTGTAGGATTGTGCTGAGATCAAAAATTCCAGCTATTTACTACATAAGTGTCGTTTTGCTTGATTTTTAATTCCTGGCATTTTGGGAACCCTTTCTAAGAGATATCTTAAAGCGTCATATTAATGCAATTCTTCCTTTCATAACTCGATGCATTGTGATTTAATAATTGTTAATATTAACAATCATACCTCCCCAGTTTGGATTCGGCTGAGGGTGTGTATAGAGTTTTACATCACGGAAAGAGGCCCTTTGGCCCATCATGTCCATCCCTTTTGTCAAGCACCTGTGCTGTGTTCAAGCACATGGTTCATTGCCTTGTACTCCATGGCACTTCAAGCGAAGACCTAAATACTTCTTAAATGTTGTGATCATTCCTGCCTCTACCACCCTTTTAAACAGCCAGTTACAGATCAGCAGCACCCTATTGACTCCTTCTCCTTCCTATCTACCCTCTCTATTCTCCCATAATTTTGTACACCTCAATCAGGTCACCCTGCCATCTTCTCCGATTTGAGGAAAACAACCCCAGCCTATCTAGTATATCTTCATTACTGAAATGCTCCAGGTAACACAATGTCCTGGTGAACCTCCACTGCACCAACCCTGCCACATCCCAAATTTTTGTATCCCATTTGCCAAATTGCTGTGGATCCCATGGGCTCTTACCTTCTTGACCAGTATCCTACACAAGAGTTTGTCGAAAGCACTACCAAAATCCATGTAGATGACATCCATTTCAATAACCTCATCCACACGTGGTCACCTTGCAAAACTCCAATCTAGCTTACCAGACATGGTCTTGACTTGACAAAGCCATGCTGACTATTCTCGATTAAACCTTGGATCTCCAAGTCAAAACTAATTCTATCATAGAGCACGGAAATAGACTCTTTGGTCCAACCAGTCCATGCCGAACATAATCCCAAACTAAACTAGTCTTACCTGCCTGCTCCTGGACCATTTCCCTGCAAAACTTTCCTATTCATGTACTTATCTAAATGCCTTTTAAGCATAACTGTGCCCACATCCACCACTTCCTTAGGGAGTTAATTCCACACGTGACCTATCCTCTGTAAAACCAAAAATTGCTCCTCCTGTCTCTTTTAAATCTGTCTCCTCTCGCCTTGAAAAAATATGCCCCCTAGTCTTGAAATCCCTCATCCTAGGGAAAAGACACCTACCATTTACCTTATGTATACCCCTCATGATTTTATAAACCTCTATAAGGTCACCTCTCAACTTCCTGCGCTCCAGTGAAAAATGTCCCAGCCTATCCAGCCTTTCTTTATAACTCAAACCTGCCATACCCAGCAACATCCTGGTAAATCTCTTCTGAATCTGCTCCAGCTTAATAATATCCTTCCTATAACTGGGTGACCAGAACTAGACACGGTACTACAGAAGAGGCCTCACACTCAGATTTTTTTCCAATAGTTCCCCTTTAACAAACTTGCCTACAATTCCTTTGTTTATCCCTACCAGCCTTCTTGAATAATGGGTCCATATTATTCGTCCTCTAGTCCTCCGGCATTTCCTGTTTCCAGAGAGGATTTGAAAACTAATGTCAAGGTCCGTACAATCTACTTCATTGCCTCCCACAGCACTATAGGGACTTAGCCAATTTTAAGCTGACTAAAACCATTAATACATCCTCCCTTTCTATAGTAATTTGTTCACAATCCTCTTCCCTGGTCTATGTCCACATTATTCTTCTATACTGTGACTCCAGATGTAAAGCTCCCTTTGCCACTAATATATTTGTGAAATGCCTTTGGGCTTTATCACCTAGTGTTTTTCACACACCCTTTTTGCTTTCCTACTTTTCTACATTATACAAAGTAACCCCCTGCCTTTCTTCTTGCCTCTAGGGCTTCTGGTGTTTGGAGCTGTTGGTATCTACTGTTCTACCTTTATCCATTCCTCAACATCTGGAGTTTCCTGGAATTTTCAGTCTCAAACTTCACCTTTACAAAACATTATTGGCCTTGCACTTTCACCACTTCCTTTTTGAATGCTTCAATATGGACTTTCCTACAAGTAGCTGCTCCCAGTTCACTTTGGCCAGACGTTATCTTATGAAAATCAACCTCCCTCCCCAATTCAAACTCTTTATGTTGAGCTGAATAACATAAAGTGAAATTCTAACAAGACCAGATCTGATGGCTAGGTACAATTTGCAACCATGCATTAAAAGCATTGCATAGGAAGTACTTTAAAGCACTTTTGATTTATGTGGAATTTTCCTATATTGATGCCAATACATTTTAACAACAACGTTGCACATAATAGTTACTATATATACATTTGTACGGCACACAGGGGAGTTATTCGACCCTTGTGCCTCTGTTGGCTCTTTTGAAAGATTCCTTCAGAAACAAACAAATTGTCCTTTTCAATTATTTATGTAATTTATTTTTGAAAATTATTGTTGAATCTGTTTCAACTACCTTTTTAAGCAGTACATTCATATATAATACTTTGCAGCACGAAACTTCTCACCTCCCCACCCTGCCCCATTCCTTTTACCAATTGCATTAAAACTGCATCCTCTCGTTACCTTACCATCTTGAAATCCCTCACAATTTTAACTCTTCTCATAACCCTTTGTTATTCAAACTAATTGTAGTTGTCACCTGCAGGTATGAATGCTGCAGTGCGTGCAGTGGTACGGATGGGGATCTATGTGGGAGCTGATGTTTATTTTGTGTATGAGGTTAGTACCCTTTTTGTCCTGTTTATCTAATATTGAAGATCCAAGTGCTATCTGATTATTTGTTTAAAGTGAGTATGGGTGGCTTGGCCTTGCTCTCTTTATCCTCTTTCGAGGTTGATTATAGGGAAATGTAAAGCTGAGAACAGAAGCTCTTTAGGAACTGTTTAGACCAAAGGTTAAAACACAGCATACAGTTTAGTCGTAATAGATGTTCTGGTCCTGATTTTTTTTTAAAAATTCGGTCTCTTTCTCTTTCGTCCTCCAATCTCCTATTTAAATCACCTTTCTTTATCATGAAACTGGAAAACACGTCATAATAGCCAAGCCTGATATGATCCTTGTGCAAACTCACTTTTGTTCTTCTGAGGAAGCAATCAAGAACAGAATCTAGCATTTATCTAGTCGGTAGTGACTTCACTGAAACCAGTGCATTATCTGTGAAGTGTTTTGACATGTTGAGGACATGAAAAGTGCTGTGGGACTGTTTGTTCCTAATTGCCTAGTTTTCTCTTAGCCTGTACTCCCTCGTTTTTGAACTTTGACTGGTCAATATTCATCATACCTTCATAGACTGGATAACTTCAGTCCCCTTGACACCTCCCTTGCAAGTTCCTGATTTCTGGGACAAACCTGTCGTTTTGACCTTGGTCCCTTCGGGATCTCTGTTTCACCCTTCATAATGATGTCACTGACCTCTCCGTGTGTGTTTGACCTTTGTTCAGCAACCGCATAAATTCCTTGGATTTTTACGCAATCTTTCTGTCATGCTACCTGCCGCTCTTTTAAAAGGCTTTCCGTTCTAGTTCCCACCTCTCTTCCTGTGTATGTACATGTTAAACCAGCACTTCCAATTTTGATTCCTTGTTCCTTTATAGAATTATCCTGGGTCAGCTTTTGCTGGAATCTGACAGCATGTTAACGGTGCACACTGTTAATAATGCCCAAATTGACCAGCAGGCTGAAGGGATTAGGAGATTCCCCAGAGAGTTACGAACTTCCAGAATTTTTTGGTTGATTTGCATCACAGTTGTTTGGCACAGGAGTGGATTTTGCCTGGTAACTAATGTCGTCGTACCAGCCGTTTCGTTTTAGCACTCAACAGCATGCGCGTCACTGAATTGCTTACCATTGACCTTGTGGGAGTTATTATTGATCAGGAGCTTAACTAGATCAGGCATGTAAATACTGTAGCTACAAGAGCAGGTCAGATGCTGAGAATTCTGTGGCAAGTAACTCATCGTCTGTCCCCCCCTAAGCCTGCCCACTGCTGACTAAGCACTGGTCAGGAATATGATGGAGTACTCCCCACTTGCCTGGATGGGTGCAGCTCTAACAATACTCGGGAAGTCCGGCATCATCCAGAACAAATCAGCCTGCTTGAGTGGCGACTGATCCACTACCTTAAGTATCGATTCTCTGCACCAACAACAGTGGCAGCAGTGTGTACCCTCTATAAGAGGCACTGCAGCAACTTGCCGCAGCTCCTTTGGCACCTCCCAAACCTGCAATGTCTCCCATATGGAATGGAAAAGGTGGCATACACTTTGGAACACCAGCATCTGCAAGTCCTCCTCAAAATCACAGAACATGCTGACTATCTCACCAGGCCTTCACTGTTGCTGGGTCAAAATCCTAGAGCTCCCTAATAGCATTGTGGCTGTGCCGGCAACGCCTACATCTTGGAAACAAGGAATTTCCAGAAGGAAAAGCCTAATAATCTCAGTGGAACTTACGGTGTTGTTAAATATAGTTCAGTCGTTAATTCCAGCTTGGCTTTCTGGCCCAGAAAGTGAAGAGTTTAAACACTTCAATTTAATTTTTTTTTAAATGTTTTAAAAAGTCAGGTTTTGAGGGTAATTCCTTGTATTTTGTTTTCTATCTCTTTTTTTTTCAAATCTTTTCTGCTCTGTCATTCTTCTTGGTTCTTTCTAATCCTTAAACCATATTGTATCAGGAGCTATAATGTTGAACCCATGATTCACTAAGGTTTCCGGGTGTGCCTGTAGTCCTTGCTGCACTATTATCATCTTGCAGTTCTGTTCCAACAAGATTCGGCTCAATATCTAACTCAATTAGTCTGGTTTGTTGGAGGATTCAAAGTCTTTCGAAATCTGATGGCATCATTGCTTATTATCTGGACTTTGTTTCTATTATTTGGGAAATAACGCCATAAATACCAACTGAACTAAACTCTTATCTGGGGAAATCCAATAGTTAGGTCTGTATTCATCCTCAAGTCATTACCCACTGCACTCTCAAATCCCCAACTATCTTGGCTTCGGCCTTCAATTCATTTTCAAATCTTGGCAGCTATTGATATAATGAATCACATCCATAGTCTTAATGGCTTCGTCCCCACAAAAAAAAAACTATTACTTTCTCTCACCTTCAATTCTGGTATCCCCTGATCTCTGCTCCCTTGACCATGAGTGACACAAACTTGCATGTCTTTTATCGTACAACCTGTTTCACCATTTAGCTGGACCACTTGAAAGCATATCGGCCAATGCTCTCCATTAGTAAAACAACTCGCTACTCAAAGCTACTTCGGGAATGCCAAGAAAAACCTCTTGTCTCTGCTACAATCCATCTTCTTAAACCACCCTTCCCTGCATCCTCTATCGTCGCCTCTGACAGTAAGTGTGAGGTGTTTGTGGAATTTATTGTTACGAAGGTCGAAATCATTCATTGAGTCTCCCAGCCACGTGCCTGCGTAGCATTACTTGACGCTATCCGTCCTGTAGCTCACCCATTGCTGAAATCCTCATCCATGGCTTTTTAATTTGTAGATTTGACGGTTTTGGTGTTCTCCTTGTCAGCCTCCCAGTGTCTGACCTGCATAAAATTGTGCTCCTCAAAAGATTCTGCTTCCAATGTATTAACTCGCTCCAAATCTCACTTGCTCATTATTACTGCGCTTGCCGACCTAAAATTGTCACTGAGCTACTTAAGGTGATTCTAGGTCATTAAAAAGGTAGATTTTAAGGAGTTTGTTAAAAGCCATGCAGAGAGAATTCCAGAATTTGGGACCTGAATGTTTGAAGTCAGAATGGTTAAAGCATGGAAAGAGGCCTTTCACCTGCTCTGATGGTACTGTTTCTCCTCAATAGCAGCTCACCTAGGCCCACTGCACCGCTTTTCCCCGTAGGCCTGATATTATTTTTTCCTGTCTATTCATCCAGTTCCCTTTTGAAAACTATGATTAAATCTTTCTCCATGAGACTTTCAGGCCTTGCTTTCCAGATCCAAGCCACTGGACGCATAACGAGCGTTTCCTCATGTTACCTTTGGTTCATTTGCCAATCACCATAAATCTCTCGTTCTCTATCCTTATGACCGTGAGGACAATTTCTCTCGCTCTCTATGCTGCCCAGACTCCTTGTGGTTTTGCATACTTCAGTCAAATCTCTTCTTGGCCTTCTGCTTCGAGGAGAACAACCGCAGCTACTTCAATTTATCCATGTCGCTCACCACTGGAACCGTTCTTGTAAATCTTTTCCGGATCTTCTCCAAAGCCTTCATGCCCTTTCCAAAACATGGTGCCCAGAATTGAATGCAATCCTACAGATAAGGCTGAACCAGAATTGGAATGCTCAATGCTGTAACAGACACATCTTTCCTTTTTGCAGGGTTACGAGGGGCTCGTTACTGGTGCAGAGTACTTGAAGTTGGCAGACTGGGACAGTGTTTCAAATATCATCCAACTGGTAAGCTCTTTGTTCTATTCCTGTTCAGGGTTCGTGCAAGTCAAGCCCGATTTAGAAAAAGGACTTTTGTACAGTTGCTATGAGTGACCAAATTTTCCTTTAAATCATATTACTTTGGATCGCTGCAAAGGGAAGTGTTTTTAGGACAGAGCAGCACTTGAGGTACTCTGTAGTACTTGAAATCCAAGTTTGCAATGAAGTGGCATTTTGTCCCAAAGGACATGTCAACTAATCTTGATTAGTGCTCCCACCGAAGGGCTCTGTTGTTCATCATCAATGGTGAAAACTGAAATTTTAGCTGTACCACTGTCACATTCAAACCAGGCATTAGGAGGTGCATGCAGTGACTTCCTGCTGGGTTCTATTATCCCAATCTGCCTGCAATCTCCCTGGCATATTAGATATCTTCACATAGAAACCCTTTCTTTCACCGATCACACAGCTGAGAGCAGGAACTCGAGTGTTGAGAGAATTGAGAGTTCTGATGATCGTAATCAGCATTAGGTGCTTGAAATGGCAGCGTGCACGAAAGAAGTGAAATGGGAGAAGAACCACAACCAAGTTGCTGCAGGCCATGTCGGCCTGTATCCCGGCTGTGTTTGGGATTACGTTGATTTTAAACAACCTGACCATCTTTCTCCAGTAATCTAATCCTTTCACTTACTTAGTCAGCCATCGTGTGCCACAGTGAGCTCAGTGAACGCTGGATGGCATAACCACAAGTGGATGTGCAATATTCAGGATTAATGTGGTCTGTTTGATTATTCAACTCATGTTGACATCTGAACGGTGAATGGAGTTGAAGAATTCAACTGGTTGTGACATGAGCGTGAACCTCATTACGAGTTAGATAGCCAGCTCTTTGAGTGCCTCCGTCTTCCTTTCGAGTATGCTTGCTTGTGAATGTGCTTTTCTTTTTGCCGCCTTCTGTATTACTTCCTCTCTTGGTACATCTTATGACCTATCTCTGTCTCAGGTTCCCTTCATTATGAAATTGAGCCATTCTCCCTTGTAAGCGAGGGATTCTCACCTACGGGGTAAGGTGCTTCTATTTTTTGGCATTGGTTGCTTTGCACCTTTGCAGGCTTAGTTGGGGTAGTACTGGTGCTGCTTGTATGATCTGTCTAATGTGGCTGCAATCCAGCCTCACTTTTTTTGGGTAGAGAAGCTGGTAAATGGCAACTTTGCTTTTTTTCTTTTGAGCGCGTGCTTCCATTGACTGAGTGAAAATGGCTTTTTAATTCCTAACTTGGTAACTCTACTCACCACAGAACAGCATCTTTTAACCAAAACAGCACAAATAAGAAGCTAAAATAATTCGTCAGTGGTAACCTCCATTGAACAGATGAGTCATTGGCGTATGCTGTAGTTCTGTATACCCGCCTGGAGGAATCCAGCTGGGGTGGTTGTACAGTTTGCTTTTGTTGCAGAGTGTTTGAAATAGTTTCTGCCTGAACAGCTAAAAGTTGTATTTGCGGGTGTCTCGAGGACCAGATTGACCGTGCGCACGTGAATTGGAGTGTGGATGGGCCCCTCTGTGTCTCTGAGAATGCTGGTCCACGCTGCATCGTCTGAAAAGCTTTGGAAGTTGATGCTGATGTCCATTTTTAAAGGGGGCCAGCTGGCCAGCACATCATGAATTGTCCGGTTTGAACCAGCCTGGAACCCCGTGCGCAGAGGCGAGGAGCGCGTCTGTGAGACACAGCGTTCTGAAAATGGCAAGCAAAAAATCTGCTGCGTTCTGTCAAATTGCCTGCCTGTTAAGTTAAAAGGCTGACTTCCAACCATGCCTTAGTTTTTAAGAGCGGTGACATGTTATGCTAATGCGAATATTGGTGAAAAGGTAAAGTGAGCTTTGAAGCTTGGGTAAAGAATGGAACAGCGTTGAAGTCATGCAGTTCAAAGGCACCTTTTTCTTTCTTTAAAATTATCATTACTGGCCTGACCCAAAGCCGCATGGTGCAGCAGCAGCCCTTTTTTTTTTGCATGAGTCTGAACTGTTTCTGTTTGCACCTTCTGTAAGTGATAAGCCAGGTTTGAGACTCCCAGTTCTGTCAGGCATAATGCTCTGTTTTCACCGGAATGTTTTTTTCCATCTGATGGGCAGGGTGGAACAATCATTGGCAGTACCCGATGCAAGAGTTTCTGCACCCGTGAAGGTCGCCAGGCAGCAGCTTACAACCTGGTGCAGAATGGCATCAACAACCTGTGTGTGATCGGAGGAGATGGCAGTCTCACCGGGGCCAACATCTTCCGGACAGAGTGGAGTGACCTGCTTGCAAGTCTTGTTGAAGAGGGTGAGTGCCTTTTAAAACAGTAAGAAAAACCTGCAAAGTATATACTAGAATGACGAACGTGCAATGAAGGTAGACACACGTTTAATATTTCATCTCACGTTCCTGGCAGTTTTAGGAATTCTCATTATCTGCGCCATTGTCTAGTCAGTAACGTTACATCCAGTGTTGCTGTATGAGGCAGTAGGGGAACTTACACAATCGATGAAGTGATCCATAATTTACTCAAGCAGACCATCCAGCCTGGTGTCTACACTTCACATGAGCCTCTTAAACTCAGTGGTTAGCACTGCTGCCTCGCAGCACCAGAGACTTGGGTTCGATCCCTGCCATGGGCGACTGTCTGTGTGGAGTTTGCACGTTCTCCCCGTGTCTGCGTGGGTTTCCTCCCACAGTCCAAAGATGTGCACGTCAGGTGGATTGGCTGTGCTAAATTGTCCAGAGGGCCCAGGAATAGGGTAGGGTGTGGGTCTGGGAGGGATGCTCTTTGGTGGACTCGATAGGCTGAATGGCCTGCTTCCACGCTGGAAGGATTCTACGATTCATGCATCATCTAGCTCTAACATCCTAATCTACTTACTTCTCTTTGCGTACCATCAAGCTTCCACTAAAATGCTGTTCACCTCAACCAGTGCAACATATCGTAATCCCCACTCTGATTAAGGATCACCATCCTGGGTAAAGAAATTTTAAAACGTGACTGTAGAAGTACCCCTGCTAAGTTGTGTCCACGTAATCCTCCTGGCTCCCTGAGTTGAGGGAAATTGTAAGTCTGAACCTCATAACCTACAACATCATAGGGTCTGCGTTGAGTTTGCCGATCTGAGCCAAGGCAACAGGTGAGATACTAGAGGTTAATGTCAGGGCCTTAAAGCTAAAATTCCTGGTCCTAATCATTATCCGTTGATCCTGCACGGAGAAGGAACATTTTCCTTATCAGCTCGGTACTGGAGGTTTCATATATATGTACAACTTAATATAATTCCCACTTCCCTGCTTGCTCCTCATACCACTTTGATGTTCTTTTTTTCTCATGCAAGTATCTTCAGTTTATTTTCTAACAATTCAGACTTTTGTTTCAACCTCCAGTTTGAATAGAGAATGTTGTTCATTCAATGGGAGCAGGATTGGGCTTAGACCTGGTGGCTGACACAGTCCATGTCTTGCTGGTTCTCTCTGTTCAGGCTCTCAAATGGAATATCAACACTTTCATAGTCCACTGTGAAAGGGGAGGTGATGACCTAGTGGTATTATCGCTGGACTGTTACTCCAGAGACCCAGATAACATTCCTGCCACGGCAGATAGTGGAATTTGAATTCAATTTTAAAATATCTGGAATTAAGAATTTAATAGTGACCATGAATCCATTGTCGATTGTCAGGAAAATCCCATCTGGTTCACTAATGTCCTTTTAGGGAAGGAAATGGCCATCTTTACCTGGTCTGGCCTACATGTGACTCAAGACCCACAGCAATGTGGTTGACTCTTAACTGCCATCTGGGCAATTAGGGATGGGCAATAAATGCTGCCTGGTCAACAACACCCTCATCCTGTTAATGAATAAAGAAAACCCTCCTTCCCTCACTGCATTTTTCTGTGTTGTGCCAGTGGTGAAATGAAAGGCGTTGAATGCTGCCTGTTCCTTGCAGCAGTAACCCAGAGCGACTGACATTGCTTTGGAAGGACAAGGTCACAGGTCAGCTGTCTGAGAACAGTTGCACGATGGTAAGCATGCTGAAAGGAGTAGGAGCAAAAGTACAGAAGGGTAATTCTTTCCAAGACTTTAAATGAAACATTTAAGTAGAGAGGGAATCATGCATTTGAAGTCAACTTCTTATCTGCCAGCGCTTACGCCACTATTCAGCAGGGTAAAGATTACTTGCAGCGTAATTACGTCAAGTTCCTGTTGTTTTTTCAACAGTTGCTTTGCTTTTCTATTAATTCCCTGCCTTCTCTCTGAAGGCATTGATTCCTTGCTGGCTACAGTCATCCCATGGGTATACCCTTCAAGTGATAAATGAGTTTTGACAGACTATTCAAGCACTAAGGGCTCCCAGTGGAGCCCAGTCCTGGATTGACTTCACTACCGTACATTTCAGAAGAGTTTGCAGGAGGGATGTGGCTTTCGCAGCAATGTGTTGTGTTGACCCTAGCTAAGACCTGCAGAGGTTTTTTTTTCTCCACCCCGGTTGTGTAAAAAGTAGTAAATAATTGTACTGTTGAATAATCAGCGACTGGAGAGTTGCACTGTAAGTGATCCTTGCCTCTTGAATAACCAGCAACTCCAAATGGGCATGTGACTAGATGCCTTTAGGTAAACAGTTTTAAAGGTAGCGCTGATATATTTTCTCTTTGTCATTCAGGTAAAATCACAGAAGAGGTTTCCCAGCAGTATTCTCACCTGAACATCGTTGGGATGGTGGGATCGATTGACAACGACTTCTGTGGGACAGACATGACTATCGGTACAGACTCTGCCCTCCACCGAATTACGGAAGTGATTGATGCCATAACCACTACGGCACAGAGGTATGTCAAAGCAGGAAGAGACTTTGGGACAGCATTAGTGTAGCGTATTGCTTGGAGCAAGCCTTCATAATAACCAGCAGATGAATAAATGCTGGCTAAAACTCTCAGCACCTCTTCAGATAGTCTTAAGCTTCCATCTAAACAAGGGTTTTCTTCTCTTTTGATGAGGCTGTACTGAAGAGTCCACCCAGGCCAAACACTGAGAATACAGTGTTTACATTTCCTTTCTGCAAAGCCTCTCAATTGTAGCCTCCAAGCACAAATTGCTACCTCCTCCATCTCTCAGAACGAGAGTCACACTGGTAGATCTGATGAGTATAACTTAATACAAGGCTGAACAATGCTCTTGTTCAGGAAGTTGCTGGGTGATGGGTTTTTTTTAAAAATGTTCCTAACAAGATGCCTTTTTATTTCAAGTAATTGATAAAATCGTGCCCCTTTTAAGGAGAGCTGTCTGCTTATATATCTGGGTGAACTCTTTTCTTGTGCCAACTGTGAGTGTTCCACAATCTTTGCACATGTTGGATCTGGACCCAATTTTTAATGAGTCAGGCGGCATTGAACTGATAACTACATCAAAACGCCCGCCACAGAGCGAGGTGGATGGTGTCTCCGAATCAGCTCCCGTAAAGTGCAACATCCTGGGCTCTATTTGCTTCACACAGCAGCAGGCTCCAATAATGAGTAGCATCAAAGGGGAAATTGAGTCTTGTATCACGCACGCTGGGCTGGAGTGAAAACCAGCACCTGGCCCACAAACTGCTCAACTCCTCAACGAGTCTGGTTAGAAGTGACATACACTAACCACAGTTGCATTGTGCTTCTGGTGTTTTTGCTGCTGGCTCCTTCACTCCAGATGGATTGCCCTTGGTGCAAGCACCTCCCAAGGTATAGCGGGTAAATTCTCTGTTCTCCCGCAGTGTCTCCAAATTACAAATCTTGTCAGAGGGAGGGGTGAGGGATTCAAACACCACGTCTAGAACTTCCTTCATTCCTACAACCCTTTTGAGATCCCTGCAATCCTTTTGAGTAGCCCTGATTTTCATCACTACACTACTGATGCCTGTGCTTTCAGCTGTCTTAACCCCAAACTCTGGATCTCTCTTGCTAGTTTCCAGTTCTTCTGTTCTGCCTGTCTGTCTCCCTCCCCTTCAGGACCCTCAAAGAACAAAGAAAATTACAGCACAGGAACAGGCCCTTTGGCCCTCCAAGCCTGCGCCGATCCAGATCCTCTATCTAAACCTGTCGTCTATTTTCCAAGGATCTGTATCCCTCTGCTCCCTGCCCATTAATGTATCTGTCTAGATACATCTTAAATGACGCTATCTTGCCCGCCTCTACCACCTCCGCTGGCAACGCGTTCCAGGCACCCACCACTCTCTGCGTAAAGAACTTTCCACGCATATCTCGCTTAAGCTTTTCCCCTCTCACCTTGAAATCGTGACCCCTAGTAATTGAGTCCCCCACTCTGGGGGAAAAAGCTTCTTGCTATCCACCCTGTCTATACCTCTCATGATTTTGTAGACATCAATCAGGTCCCCCCTCAACCTCCGTCTTTCTAATGTAAATAATCCTAATCTACTCAACCTCTCTTCATAGCTAGCGCCCTCCATACCCGGCAACTTCCTGGTGAATCTCCTCTGCACCCTCTCCAAAGCATCCTCATCCTTTTGGTAATGTGGCAACCAGAACTGTACACAGTATTCCAAATGTGGTCGAACCAAAGTCCTATACGACTGTAACATGACCTGCCAACTCTTGTACTCAATACCCCTCCTTAAAGACTACCTTGTTTGACCAGGTTTTTCGTCACCTGTCCTAATGTCTCTTTACATGTAAAGATGCAATATGAAAACATGTTGTTACAAGACCCGAGAACTGTGTTAACGGTTTATGTGAGAACCTGATCCTTGATATTTCTTTTTGCTATTTCTTCCCAAACTCTCACCTTTTCAAGTTTGCTTTATACGCAAAATTTTGTGTGTGTGACATCCTGAACCTAATTACGCACCAAGCACTTTCAGGCTAGTGCGTCGTGTTTGCGCTGTGAAAGTGCTCACTTCATCAAAGATTAATCCAATTTATTGTGCCCTTAATCCAAAGCACTGTGTTATGGCATTTCAGATAAGCCTGATCAAACTGCATGTCTGCAGTACTCCATCTGCTTTATCACTCACTTTGTAACATTTGTATCAGTCAGAATGAGGAATTAAGCCAGCAAGTCAACAGCCATTATTACAGATAATAAACTTAAGTTTTTTTTTGAGAAAAGCACTATTCAGGCCGATGTTGAAAAGAATACCCTGTTTTGAAATGAAAGCTGATGTACTGCTGTCAACTGTGACCCAGTGTACGGTTTCAGCAGTCACTATGGGTTTGAAGGACAATATGACCTTTGATATTTATCCAGCCTTTTACACCCAAGTTGTAAGGTCTTGTTATTTGAACTGTGTACGTGTAGTTAGTCCATAGCAAAATTGGCTGGTCTCACTGCAACTCGGGGTATGGCTGTTCGCCCATTGTGATTGCTTGTTACATATACATCCTCTTTTTCTCTTTTTAAATATGATGGTTAATTCAGTAAAGAAAACTTTTGTATTGTATACTTCTTACATCCTCAGTGTTTTGTAGCCAATGAAAAACCTTTTTTAAAGTGTAGTCATGGCAATGGCCTAGCGGTATTATTGCTAGACTCTTAATCCAGAAGCTCACCTAATGTTCTGAGAGTCCGGGGATTGAATCCTGCCATGGCAGATGATGGAATTCGAATTCAATTAATAAAAAAAAATCTGGAATTAATAATCGCCATTTGTCGGAAAAACCCCATCTGGCTCACTGATGTCCTTCAGGGAAGGAAATCGGTCATCCTTACCTAGTCTGGCTTGCATGTGGACTCTCGACTACCCTCTGAAATGGCCTAGCAAGTCGTTCAGTTAAAGGGCAGCTAGGATGGGCAGTAGGTGCTGGCCAGCTAGCGACGCCCATGTCCCACAAGTGAATTTAAAAAGAATGGAGGTGACAGGTCTTGTCTGCTTGCTGGAGAACTGGCAAAAGTTTCACAGTGCTCCTCTTTTAGGGAAGGCCTGCTTGTCACAGCCATGTAACAATTCAATTCAACTTGAGATTTGAGCTGCTTAAAATGAAATAACCTTTCATTTTGTGGTAATCTGCTTGTTTTCACTCTGCAGCCACCAGAGAACGTTTGTGCTTGAAGTCATGGGCAGGCACTGTGGGTAAGTGGCAGATTCTTTTAACAGTCAAACTCTTAACCGTTCCAATGCTGATAATTTTTAAAAGTTATTACAGTGCATCTTTGAAATGAAAGGAAGAGGACTCTCTAAACCAATCCCCATATAAGCGCATGCTTGTGGTGTTGCACATTAGGAATTTGTAGTGCCAGTATGCCACCACAGCGGTTCTTGAGCTTTGGAATGACCTCATGGTGGTGTGCCAATGAAGCTGATACCAATTCTACTGGTCCTCCACACTAAGAAAGGAAGAAAGACCACCTGCACAGAACATGTGGAATCTAATCTATCTATTATCATCTTGTGTTTTTTGTTTTGCATTGCAAGTATTGGCGTTCATTCCCAAAGAGGGAGAATTACAAGGCAGAGACAATGATGCTGAAATTGGACAGACCCTGGGTTAGACCACTCTTTAGGAGTTACTGTATTTCATATTAAAAAGGATCATGGATGTTCCAAGCAAGTTTAAAACATGTTTACGTGGTTGACACATGAGCCGAGAAGTTGCAATTATCAGGAAAGACTGAACAGACTGAGGCTCACTTTCTGAAACAGCAGAAAAGTGAGGAGTGACCAGATAGAGGTCTTTAAAAGTTTGAAGAGTCCTTGAAAAGAAGAGATTTTTCACAGGTAATAGAGATTGTAATTGACGCTGTAAATATAAAATGGTCACTAATAAATTAATTGAGAAACTCAAGGTTAAACTAGTTTACACAAGGTGTGGTTACAGTGTGGAGCTCACTAACGTATGGAATAGTTGAGGTGAGTAACATTAATGCATTTACAGGGAGACTTGCATTTTTAAAAATTGGCATAGACCATTGGAGTTGAATCACCTGTTACTGTGCGGCAATTCACCATAACTACATAATGTTCTGTCATAAGTCATGGTTTTCAGTGGCTGTTTGGCCATGCAAACCAATCTGTTGTCTTGTTTATGCAGGTACCTGGCACTGGTGTCTGCATTGGCTTCTGGTGCAGACTGGCTCTTTATTCCAGAGGCACCTCCAGAGGATGGCTGGGAGGACATCATTTGCAAGAGACTTGGAGAAGTAAGGATTATAGAACCATTTTTTGACCTTGTGATTTCTGTGAACATGCCTGGCGATTTCTGCAGTTCCTAACTTTGAACAGCCAAACGAGGACCATAAAAGATCCTCGACAGTCTGCACAAAATAGTTCTAGGCACTTTGTATATTGCTTTTTGATGTTATTACCACTGGTCCTGCTGGTTTGACTATGCATATTTAACTTCTTCTCATTTGGTTAGTTCAGGGAGAGATTAAAAGCCAGCCACTTTGTTGAGGGACAGGAAGTAGATATAGGCTAAACTGGATAGGGCCAACAGCTTTGCTTCTCTAAAGGAAACCAGTTGATGTTTTAAAAACTTCTTCATACTAGCTATTAATTCCGGCTATTTTAATTGAGATTCTCAGGCTGTTGTACTGGGATTTGTACTTGTGTTTACTGGGTCACTTCTTCAGGACTCTACATCGTGAATAGGGAGGATATTCCTGGGAGATCATTCAGTGAAGATATATGGGTGGAACTGAGAAACAAGAAAGAGATGACCACCTTGTTGGGATTGTATTATGGGCCCCTTTCCCCTGCCAATAGTCAGTGGGAAATTGAGAAGCAAAAATGTAAGGAGATCTCCAATATCTGTAAGAATAATAGGGTTGCAATGGTGGGGTTTTAACTTTTCAAGAATAGATTGGGACTGTTATAGTGTTAAAGGCTTGGATGGGGAGGGATTTAAGTGTGTACGAGAAAACTCTTATTCAATATGTGGATGCACCTATTAGAGAAGGAACAATACTTGTCCTTCTGTTGGGAAATAAGACAGGGCAAGTTACACAGTTGTCAGTGGGGAGCATTTTGGGGCGAGTGATCGTAATTCTATTAGTTTTAAAATAATTATGGAAAAGAATAGAACTGATTGAAAAGTTGAAGTTCTAAATTGGACTAAGTCTAATTTTAACAGTTTTAGACAGGAACTTTCAAAAGATGACTAGGAAAGGCTAGTTGTAGGTAAAGAGACGATTGGGAAGTGGGAGGCCTTAAAAAATGGGATAACGAGTTCAGAGGCAGTATGTTCCTGTTAGGGCGAAGGGCAAGGCTGGCAGCTATAGGGAATAGAGATAAGACAGTGTGGAGCTGGAGGAACACAGCAGGAATTTCTGAAGAAGAGTCCCAACCCGAAATGTCAACTTTGCTGCTCCTCTGATGCTGCCAGGCCTGCTGTGTTCCTACAGCTCCACACTGTATTATCTCAGACTCCAGCATCGGCAGTTCTTACTATTCTCTCAGCTATAGGGAATGCTGGCTGACTAGAGAAATTCGGGTTCTGGTCAAGAAAAAGAAGGAGGCATATATCAGCTGTAGACAGCTGGGATCGGGTGAATCACTAGAGGAGTATAAGGGCAGTAAGAATACGTTTAAGGAAATCAGCAGGACAGAAAGAGGACACAAGATAGCTTTGGCAAGTAGAGTTAAGGAAAATCCAAAGAGATTCTATAAGAACATTAAGGCCAAAGAGTAACAAGGGAGAGAATAGAGTCCCTTTAAAGATCAACGTGGCCATCTGTCTGTGGAACCATACGAGATGGGTGAGATATTAAACAGATGTTTTGAGTCAGTGTTTACTGTGGAGAAGGACATGGAAGTGAGGAAACTTGGGAAATAAACAGTGACGTCTTGAAAAGAGTTCATATTACAGAAGAGGAGGTGCTGGAGGTCTTAAAATGAGTAAAGGTAGATGAATCCCTGGGACCTGATCAGGTGTTTCCGAGAACTTTGTGGGAAGCTAGGGAAGAGATTACTGGGCCTCTCGCTGAGATATTTGTATCATCAATAGCCATGGGTGAGGTGCCAGAAGACTGGAAGTTGGCTAATGTGGTGCCATTGCTTAAGAAAGGCTGTAAGGAAAAGCCAGGGAACTATAGACCGGTGAGCCTTACATCAGTGATGGGCAAATGTTGGAGGGAATACTGAGGGACAGGATTTACGTGCATTTGAAAAGGCAAGGACTGATTAGGGATAGTCAACATGGCTTTGTCCATGGGAAATCGTGTCTCACTAACTCGATTGAGTTTTTTTTTTTGAAGAGGTGACAAAGAACATTGATGAAGGCAGAGCAGTAGATGTCATCTGCATGGACTTCAGCAAGACATTCGAGAAGGTTCCAAGCGATAAAATTGGTTAGTAAAGTTAGATCACATGGGGTCCAGGGGGAGCTAGCCAATTAGATACAAAATTGACGAGAAGGTAGGAGACAGAGGGTGGTGGTAGAGGGTTGCTTTTCAGTCTGGAGGCCTGTGACCAGTGGTAGGCCACAAGTATCGGTGCTGGGCCCACTGCTTTTTGTCATTTATGTAAATAGTTCGGATGTGAACATAGGAGGTATGGTTAATAAGTTTGCAGATGACACCGGAATTGGTGGTGTAGTGGACAGTGAACAAGATTATCGCTGCATACAATGGGACCTTGATCAGATGGGCCAAGGAGTAGCAGATGGAGTTTAATTTGGTCAAATATGGGGTGTTGCACTTTGGTAAGGCAAACCTGGGCAGGACTTGGACAATTAATGGTAGGGCTGTGGGAGTGTTGCCAAGCAAAGAGACCTAGGCGTGCAGGTGCATAGTTCCTTGAAAGTGGAGTCACAGGTAGACAGGGTGGTGAAGAAGGCATTTGGCACGTTTGTCTTCATTGGTCAGAACATTGAGTATCGGAGTTGGGATGTCATGTTGCAGTTGTACAGGACGCTGCGCAGGTCACTTTTAGAATACTGCATACAATTCTGGTCGCCCTCCTATAAGAAGGATGTTGTTAAATTTGAGAGGGAGCAGAAAAGATTTACATGGACGTTGTTGAGGTTGGACAGTTTGAGTTGTAGGGGGAGGCTGAATAAACTCGGGCCATTTTTCCCTGAAGCGTCGGAGGCTGAGGGATGATCTTAGAGGTTTATAAAATCATGAGGGGTATGGATAGGGTGAATAGCCAAGATCTTTGTCCTAGCACAGGGGAGTTCAAAACTAGAGGCGTAGGTTTAAGGTGAGAGGGGAAAGATTTGAAAAGGACCTGAGGGGTAACTTATTCACGCAGAGTGGTGCATGTATGGAGTGAGCTGCCAGAGGAAGTGGTGGAGGCTGGTACAATTACAACATTTAAAAGGCAACCAGAGGGGCGAATGATTAGAAAGGATAGAGGGGGATACAGGCCACATGCTGGCAAATGTGACCAAGTCAGATTGGGATGTCTGATGAGTTGGACCAAAGGGTCTGTCTCAAAGCCTTATGACTCTATAAATCCTACGCCATATCCACCTCACTTCCATAACTTTTATTTGCTTTTTGGTTCAAACCTTTGCTGCCATTCCTTGAATCTCTTGTTTTATGTTGTATCATTTTCTGCTTAATGGATCATCCATAGGATCTAGTTCCAGTTGCCTGTAACTAGGAGACAGTGATTTTCACTAGTGCAGATTCTAGCTGACACTCCAAAGTAGTACTGAGGAAGTGCTGCACTCTTCGAGGAGCTGACTTTCAAATGGGAATAAATCTAGACCCTCCGTGTCCTCTCGGGTGGGTTTAAAGGATTCAGTGAGATTATCCAAAGACTGACGAGGAGGGATTGCTCCTTATTGTGTCGACTGTCCCGGTGCGTCGTTTTTTATTTATTTTTCTGACTGTCTGAGAGAGAGTAACAGATCAGTAGTTGGTTACGTTCTCTGACGCTGTTACTGTATCTTGCCACTCAGGCTGCACGGTGGCTTAGTGGTTAGCCCTGCTCCCTCACAGCACCAGGGACCCGGGTTCAATTCCAGCCTCGGGCGACTGTCTGTGTGGAGTTTGCGCATTCTCCCCATGTCTGCGTGAGTTTCCTCACATTTAAATTCCAAACTCCAAAGAGTGAGTGAAAAGTTGGTGAGCCATTTGATGTTGCTCTTGTGCTGTGAAACACAAGGAATGTAAAGCTGGTGGGGGGAAAAATACTTCAGCAACAAGCCCAGCTGGTAGTCACAAGATTATAAGCTCACTTCTGTATTGAACTGAATTTTCCTGCTATTCTTTCCATGGCTTCATACAGCACAGAGCAAGGCTATTTGTCTCATTGTGACTTATAGCTCTTTGAAAAAAAAATCCAAATAATTTCGTTTCCTGCAACTCTTTACTTTTCAACTATACCTCCAGTTCCCTTTTGAAATTTACTATTGAATCTGCTTCCACTATTTATGTTAATGAAACCCGAGGAGCAATCATCAGATTGACTGACTGACTGACTGACCCTTGGCAGGGGGAATCAGTCTTGTCTTTGAGAAACCGCTTCACTTAGAGACTTCCTTTTGACAGTCTCCCATCCTGTCCTCTTGCAGCAATGTTGGTATATCTGGATAAGACCATAAGACATAGCAGCAGAAATTAGGCCGTTCGGCCCGTCAAGTCTGCTTCGCCATTCGATCATGGCTGATAAGTTCCTCAACCCCATTCTCCTGCTTTCTCCCTGTAACCCTTGATCCCCTTGATAATCAAGAATCTATCTATCTCAGTCTTAAATGTACTCAATGATGTCCTGTGATATTGGTTAATTTTTAGAGACATGGGCAATCCATTAAATATAGCTTCTTGCATCTTGGAGTAAACGCTTTTGCAAAGGGTCTAATTGTAGTCTGCAGCAGTCCTACGGTTAGGTCCAGTGCAGCAAAGAAAGAAAGACTTGCATTTATGTTGCATCCTTTGTGACCTTGGAAGCTGGAAAGTGTCTTGAGGCACTTAATTACTGTTTGAAGTGCAATCACTGTTGGAACGCCAGATAACAGGAACCACTTTGCACAGAGCAAGGTCCTGTAAACAAAAACAAGATAAATATTGGCCAGACGATAAGAGTTCAGCAGAATTTTTGTAAATCTGTTTGGGACAGCAGACAGGGTTGGAAGGCTTCCATTCTGACAGTGTAACCCTCCTTCACTATCACTGGGTCAGCAAGGCCCCACTGCTCAAGTCTTTGGAAGGGGGTTGTGAATCCTCACCCCCTGTGATACAGAAGTGAGAGTGCTGTCCACTGACCCATAGCTGGTACTGAAAACTCACCGCCGAACCTCGTGTGTCCTTGTTCCAGAGTCGCAGCAGAGGCTCCAGGCTGAACATCATCATCCTCGCAGAGGGAGCAATGGACCGGCAAGGAAATCCGATCAGCTCCAACTACGTGAAAGAGGTATGTACGAGAGAATCAGCATGTATGTGTGATTGTGACAGCAGCGGTGACATGCATCAGGTATGTCCTGTCCCAAGATGTGTTCCTGTATGCACTTGTTATTTTAAATACCAGATCTAGGAACAGAGACCAGAGTCAAGCCATTTAAAGCATGAGACAAATCATTTCTCGTAGATATTGAGACAAAATGAAGCAGCCTGGATTTGGTGCAAATTGAATCATTGACTCTATGAAGAACAGCGGTGATGCCAGTCTTTGGCTATTCTGTATTTAAATTCATTTGTGTATTTTCTGTACACCTTCTTTGGATTATTTTGCATTGTCAGAATGTATATAAATTTGCAGACAGATGCATTGTGTCTTAAGTGGCAGAACCATCAAGAGAGCTTTGTTCCCGGCTTAATATCTCACCTTGTCAACACATCAGATTGCTTAACTGAAAGAAGCTCACTTGTAACATCCATTCCATCAGTGAAATATGATGGAATAAAGTGCTATGTTGTGTACACCTGCAAATGCAAAGCTGGAATCCTAGCTCTGTGGACACTGGAACTGGAGCAGGAACAATCCAGCGATCTCTGCAATAGGTTAATGCCAGAGAGGGGAGTAATCAAGATCGGGCTGTCTGATCCAATTCAGTGTTGGAACTTACATAAACAATTCCCAGCCCTAAATTGACTGGCAGGGTGCAGGTTAGAGCCCCATCGTGTTAACGCATAGTCTGAGGTTTGCACAGACTACCTAACTAAACACTCGCACCCTCTCTGATCTGAACAGAAATGTGCTTTTATAAATCCTTCTTTGAGAAGACAGGGATGGTGGACTTTCTTACCATTTCAAATCAGCACTCCTTTCTGGGTGTAAGCTTTCCCCCTTGGATTACATGATTTGTTTCCTTTGTCTCCTGTGTTAATGAAATTTCAGTGAGCGTGAGGTGCAAGGTTTACTAAATGCCTTTTTACTATTTCCTCAAGTCCTGTGCCTTATTTTCCTCCATCACCGTTTCCACTTTCTTTATTTTCTTTCTCTCCCAGCTCGTTTCCAAACGTCTCGGATTTGATACACGCGTCACAGTCCTGGGACACGTGCAGCGAGGGGGCACGCCCTCGGCCTTCGATCGAATTCTGGTAAGCCTGGGTTTTACTCTGACCCTCCGCGGAGGGAACCTCCTATCGTGATCCCCTCCCGAACAGCTGACTGAGTCGCTAGGAGAAAAGGTTTTCAACTCCACTTCCGACCTATGCTTGACACCAGGCAAGGGAGCAATAATAGTTGTGTAACAGTGATTTTCACCTTGGGAGCCACTGCTTGGAAAGGGAAACAAACCGTGAGGGTCCTCAATTTCCCAGGCGTCCAGCAGCAGGCGGTGGCTGAGGCTGGGATCAGATGCTGCTCTGCTGTCCCTAATAGTTGACTGCTGTGATGTGTTGAGACTTAGGTTAGAAATGGATGCCTGTGGGAGATGCCCGTGAAACTGTTTCTGAATATTACTTCAAAGCCTTATGGGAAGGTGGCGAAAAGGAGAAAAGAGGGTGGCATGGATGCCGGCCTTGTTTGTGGTACTGCTGCATGATTTTTTTTTTTTTCTGTGGGAAGAGGATGTTACTGGCTAGGCCCAGCATTTATTGCCCATCTCTAATTGCCCAGAGGGCAGTTAAGCGTCAACCACATTGCTGTGGCTCTGGAGTCACATATAGACCAGACCAGGGAACGATGCCAATTTCCCTCCCTAAAGGACATTTGTGGACCAGATGGGTTTTTCCAACAATCGACAATAGATTCACCATCACCCTTAGACTCTTCATTCCAGATTTTTATTAAATTGAATTCAAATTCCACCATCTGCCATGGCAGGATTTGAACTCGGGTTCCTGGAACATTAGCTGGGTCTCTGGATTAACAGCCCAGCCATAATATCACTAGGCACATTGGGACATACCACAGTTGTGCAATTTGCAGAACAATTCAAGGCTTTTTTTTTTTTTCCCCTATTATGTCACTCCAATGATCAAAGAAACAAAAACTTGGTTTGCATATACAGTACCTATGACACTCCAGGTGCCCTGATGCATAATATTATAGTCACTGGGAACTTGAGTGGCATAACATGTGCCATGGTCAGAGCTCTGTGCCCCATCTGGAGCTCGGAACTGCGCTCAGTTTAACCGCAATTGTCAGCCGAACTTGGTCAGGAACCTTCTCCTATTATGGATCAAAGCCAGTCCAGTGGGTACTCTAAGCCAAACTGCAGTGCATTGTTGAGAGAGTGCTGCACTGTTGGATGTGCTGTTCTCCCAAGATAAGCTATTGAACTAATGCCCAGCCTGTCCTCCTGGCACAATTTTGAAGAAGAGCAAGGGGGGCATCTCTGAACATCTTGGCAAAAGTTCATCCCTTGGTCCAAACAGATCATTCATTCTGTTGCTGCTTGTGAGATCCTCCTGGGTATAAACTAGTTGCCAAGTTTTCCGATCAAGCAACAGTGACTCAAGTTCCAGTGGCTGTAATATTATGCATGAGGGCACCTGGAGTGTGATAGGTACTGTATATGCAAATCAAGTTTTTGTTTCTTTAACTGGAGTGACATAATAGGAAAAAAAGACTTGAATTATACTGCAAATTGCACAACTGTGGTATGTCCCAATGTGCTTTTACAGCCAATTAAGTACTTCTGGAAAAACAATTACTGTTGTGATACAGAAAGCATAGCAGCTAATTTATGCACAATAAGTTCCCTTTAAAAGTAATGGCAAGGTAATTAGCTTTAGTGATGTTGGTTGAGGGTGAGTGTTCGGTATAATGGCAAAACTCTTCAAAATTGTGGCCCATGGTGAGATTTGTGTCCACTCCAGGACAGGTAAACTACCTGTGGGATTTTGGGTGCCTCACCAGGATGTAAGGAGAAAAGAAACAAAAAAAAAACGCAAGGCAACTCCGCTAAGTATTCATTTCATTTGAGCATTGCTGCCAAGATCTGCGTTTATTGCCCATCCGTAACCAACCTTGAGAAGGTGGTGGTGAGCTGACTTCATAAACAGCTGCAGTCCATGTGGTATAGAGACACATGTTGGGATAATGCTGTTAGGGAAGATGTTCCCAGATTTTGACCCCGTGACATTGAATGAACAGTTATACAGATCCAATTTTGCATGGTGTGCAGGTTGGAGGGGAAGCTGCAGATGTTGGTGTCACTGTGTCTGCTACTCATGACCTCTACCATCCAGAAGGACAAAAGTTTAGAAGCTGTTGTCTAAGGAGCCTTGGTGGATTGTAGTTGAGCAAGACTAATCCTCCAGGACGTTTTATTGGTGTCCCTTTTGATGTTTCTGCAGACCTTTGTGTTTTTATCATCAGCATCAAAACCTGAGGAAATCAAGAGGAAAGTTTTTTTGGCCTCTGTTAGGCAGGGTTTTTATTTTGGGAGTTTCTCCTGGACCAGCCTCTAATGTGCATACCTAGTTGTCCTCGAGATGGTGTGCGGCATAAAGTGGGTCCAACATAAGCTCCAGTGTTATCCAAGTTACCAGATTCAGCCCATGCTGCTTATGTGAACTGTAAAGAAACTTTTACAGCGTCAAGGAAAGTGTTGGGTGTAAAATTTCCTGGGATGGGGCTAATTGTGGGAGGAGGTTTGTTTAACGGAACAAACTACTTGATTTCCTTCCCCAAGATTTCTGCCAAAGTTATGGAATGAGATCGGACAGTTTTCCTTTTCCCCCCCACTAACACCCAACCGCTAGTGTGGTCAGACACAAATATTTCTAAATTCTGACTGAAGAATTAAAAAAAAAAAAAATTGAAATGTAATGCTGAATAACTTGCAGTATGTTGCAACCACAGTGCGTGATGTGTCCCTTTTATTTCTAAATAGCGTCGCTGTCATTGCCAAGGCTCTTCAGGTATACTTGGTTCTGTTTTGCAGACTATCTGCGGACTCAGCATTTCTGCTTCTTTCTATAAAATGTGCAGCCCAAGGACGTGGCATTGGACCCCTTCTGCCATTCCTGCTCCACAGAAATGTTCCCTCCCTGTCAACGTGTCCTCCTGTACCTTCCTTGCTTTGCTTATTTCCCCTTCACTGTCTGATTAATCTTGTCCTTTTCTCTCTTTGTCCCGTTCTCAGAGCAGCAAGATGGGAATGGAAGCTGTACTCACACTCCTGGATGCCTCGCCGGAGACGTCATCCTGTGTCGTCAGCCTCTCCGGTAACCAGGCCTTACGGCTGCCACTGATGGAGTGTGTGCAGCTGGTAGGTATTCGGGCATATCCCTGTTGAGGTTTCCTGCCTGGCAGCTGACGTGCAAGTTCCTGTCTCCTATTGCAAATTGTGTTTTAACCTGATGCTACCTCCTTCCCCCGGCCTCCCAGTCATTGTCTTGATAAATCTCTGTTCCACTTACCTAGTGACACCGCCAATGTTTTGACCACAGGGAAGGGAGATCGGATTATTTTCTAGTCCGAAACTTATAACTGTAGAGGAGCATGGAGACTGAGGGTGGTGAGGGGGGGGGGCGCGGTCCGTCACTTCCAGCCAGTGGACTGGCACAACTAAATAAGGACAAGATGATGTTGGAAAAGCTGAGCAGCTCAGGAGAGAAAGAGTTAATGTTTCAGATCGCTGAGCGTTCACCAGAACTGTTCTGAGGAAGAGTTATTGACACGAAACGTTAACCCTGCTGAGTTATTTGCAGCATTTTTGATCTCCTTTCAGCGTCCACAGTATTTTGCTTCTGTGTAGGCATCAAGGAATGGTAGTCTTTATTGCACAGGAGCTGGAATACGAAGGGGTGGAAGTTGTATCACAGCTGTACAGAGCTCTGGCTAGACTTTGTCTGGAGTATGGTGCTCAGTTCTGGTTATTACACCTCAGGAAGCAGGTTTTGGCCTTGGAGGATGTGTGCTGGAGGTTCACCAGAATGACTAATCATGAGGAGCAGTAACTTAGACTAGGCTTGAGGACAGAAAATTAAAACTGGATCAGATTGAGCTGCTTAAGATACTTTAAAGACTTTGATAAGTAAGGTAGAAGAAAACCAGTATGTTTGGTGGGGAAATCCAAAGCAAGGGTACATGACCTCTTAAATTTAAACCTAGGGCCATTCAGCGGTGATATCGGGGGAATATTTCTTCACACGTGGGCTACAGAAACCTGAAACTCTGCGCTCCACAAGCTGTTGAGATTGTGGGGGCATTGAAAATTTCAAGCATGGTATTAGTGCTTGGTAGTGCAGAACTTAGAGTGTTGTTGAAAGAAGAGATTTTTGCCAAAGTTTTGTGTCTTGTTCCTCATCAGGATGAGAGCAAAAATGCCAAATTCCAAGCAGTCACCCAACAGCGGTGCTCTCCAGTATGAGTTCTTGCGATTATTTTGATTTTGAGCAGCTTTGATAACATGCCTCTCTTCTTAATGATATAAGTTAGAAGCATTACTTTTTTGATGGCATTTAATAATACAGAAAATGTAACAAGTTGCATAATTAAGGTTGATCTACAGAGCAGTCACAGTCAAATTGAATGGCAGATCGGGTTCAAGGGGCTGAATGGCCTCGTGCTCGCAATGTGTCATCTTGGTAGGTGGTGGGATTAAGCAGTTGTGTTTAAAGGGTTCTTTTTTGTTATGTTTATAAACAAACGAAGCCAAGCTCCCATGATATCCTGTTTATTAACAGTTGCATTTATATAGCACCTATTTTTAGCACAGTAAAACATCCCAAGGCGCTTTAGAGGAGTGTTGCTAGACAAAACCTGGACACTGAACTACAAGGAGATATTTAGGGTTAAGTGATCAAAAAGCCTGGTCAAGCAGGTAGGTTTTAAGGAGAGTTTTAAAGGAGGACAGAGTTTCAAATAAGGTATTCTGAGGCTTAGGGCTAAGGGAGCTGAAGGCTGTCGATGACGGAGTGAAAAATTCAAAAATGCATTAAAGGCCAAAAATGAATTAATGTTGAAGGATGTAGGGCTGCGGGAGGTCATGGAGAATGGACGGAGAGGGCATGGATTTGAACATAATTTTTATTTTAAAATCCTCATCTTGAAGTGACTTGAAGTGGTGTGGTAATAAGCTACAGTTCAGGGTTCGAGGCTGGACTCCAGAGTTTCTGGTGACCTTGACTCTCTCGAGCTAGTGAGGGGAAAGTCAGTAGCTCGGGGGATAGGGTGTCGGGGGAGCAATCCTGTTTGTGATCGAACATTATGGGCCTCTGGCCTGCAGATTTCAGAGTTGATGATAACGAATGGGTACAGCGTATGATGAATATGGTTTAAAATTTTGCTGCAAATGTGGGTTTTAGTTCACCGAGGAATTGCTTGCTTCCTCCTTTGCCATTCAAGGGGGAAGGCCATGTCGATGTCCATGTCTACGGTGCCCTCCATATTTTCTTTTTTGTCCAATACCACTTAAGTGGCTGATTATCTGTGAAACTTCGCCAACAAGAGTCGATATCTCCAGCAGAGCAGGTTGGGGGAGGGGAGAATCGACATGTTCGACAATTCAACAGCACGTTTAACTTTGAATGTTTTGGCTAAAGATGGGGGCCATTTCTCAAGGATTCCTTTTTGTTTCATTTGAAGACCAAGGACGTTCAGAAAGCAATGGACGAGAAGAGGTTTGACGAAGCCATCGTTCTTCGTGGCAGGTAAGGATTCCAGTTCGGAGTTCTCTTATCTGTAGCCTGGATGCCTTCCAACAGATTAAAACATGCTTGCTTTTCTGTAGTGATTAAACCCGGGATCTCCCAAAGCCAGTGAGGTGCAGTGCTTTAGAAATCCATTCACATGGCAGCCCGTCTGCACATCAATGTGATTGTGGACTAGTAATCTGTTTTAATGGTGTCGGTCGAAGGATACATGTTGGTCGTTTTACCTGGGGGAAAATTCCCAACGTTTCTTCAGGATAAGTGTTGGGACTTTTTTTTTTAATATGTATATGCACCTGGGAGGGCAGGCAAAGTTAGTATCTCGTCTGGTACACAGAATGTCTGACAGTGCAGCACTCCCAACCCAGTACTGCACTAGGGAGGGTCGATTTTAGTTTTTTTTTTGTGCGCTCGTATTTGCGGAGTGAGCGCCACAAACTTGGGACTCGCCGTGTGAAAGTCTTCCTCCTCGTATATCAATGCTACTTTACCTCTCTCCAGTGAACGCCTTCGCCTTCATCCCTGGTGCTAGGGGGCCCTTTCATCTTAGACAGAAGGGTCGAATTCCAAAGGTGAAGTGAGAGTCACCGTCGGTTAGAGGCCGGGAATTCTGCGGTTAAAATAACTCCTGGACTCCCAAAGCCTGTCTGCCATCGACAAGGGCCAAGTCAAATTCCGATCGGAGTGGTGTGAGGAAGCTGAGGTGACGCAGATACTGCTGCAGTCAACCCAACTCGGTCATTTCTCCCAGCTTTGTCAGTGACAGGAGGTTTACAGAGGTGATCGGATAATGGGGGATTAAGGTTCCTTTTTTAAGCAGCGTGAGCCAGCAGTTGCCATTCTAATGAACACTTCAGGGACCGATGAGTGGAAAAGAACAACAACAAGGACTGAGGAAGGGTCACCGGACCCGAAACATTAACTCTGATTTATATTTTCTTCACAGACGCAGGCAGACCTGCTGAGCTTTTCCAGCGACTTCTGTTTTTGTTCCTGATTTGCAGCATCCGCAGTTCTTTCGGTTTTTATGATGAATGGAAAAGACTGTGTTCCTTTAGTGACTGGGAAAAGAGCTTCACTCCACGTCTCACCGTGGTTTAGTGGATAGCACTCCAGCCTCCCCACTCTGGGTTCCAGTCCCTTGAGCAAAAATCCGGGCTAACGCTCAGTGCGGTAATGAGGGAGTGCCGTACTATCAGAAATACCATCTTTCAGATTTAAAGTAACCTGCTCTGTTGGCCCCTCGAGTGGACACAAGACATCGTATGTGATAGTAAGAACTGCTGATGCTGGAGTCAGAAATAACACCGTGTGGAGCTGGAGGAACACAGCAGGCCAGGCAGCATCAGAGGAGCGGGAAAGCTGACATTTCGGGTCGGGACCCTTCAGAAATGGGGGAGGGGGAAGGGGAGCTCTGAAATAAATAGACAGAGGAGGGCTGGGGCTGGGGAAGGTAGGTGGGATGGTGATAGGTGAGTGCAGGTAGGGAGTGGTGGGGATTGGTCAGTGAAGTGGGTGGGGCAGATAGGTAGGAGAGTGGATGACAGGTTGTATCAGGTCAAGGAGGCAGGGATGAGAGGGAGGGTTGGTCATGGGTTGAGCCGGGGCAGGGTAAGATTTTGAAACTGGTAAAGTCCACATTGAGACCACTGGGCTATGGGCCTGGGCGCCTACAACCCAATGGTCTCAATGTGGACTTTACTAGTTTCAAAATCTCCCCACCCCAGCCTCATCCCATGACCAACCCTCCCTCTCATCCCTGCCTCCTTGACCTGACACAACCTGTCCGTCTTCTCTCCCACCTATCCGCTCCTCCCACCAAGCTTACCAATCCCCACCACTGCCTACCTGCACCCACCTATCACCAAACCACCTACCTTCCCCAGTCCCACCCCTCCACCCTCTACTTATTTCAGAGCCCCCTTCCCCCTCCCCCATTTCTGAAGAAGTGTCCTGACCCGAAACGTCAGGCATCGTTTGGGGCTTCTTTGAGAAGGAGCGGGAATATACTGTCCACTGTGCTGGCTAATATTTACCCCCTCAGCTACTGATCACAGCTATTTCTGGGATTTTGTGCAAAAACGTGGCTATATTTTCTGCTGCAGCTCTGGATTGTCCCTAATGCAGAAATATACAGGGTGATGTGTTCTGTATCCAGCTATACTATAGGCCAGATACCCGCATGACATTGCCATGAAAAATCTGTGCTGTCAATTGATAACGACCATCAACAAAAATAAAATGAGGTTGTCTATAGATGTGAACATTCAGACATGCACCAGAAGGGCTAAGCTACCCCCACTTTCCCCAGTGAGTTAATGAATCACAGCTAGCCTGTGAGCACCATCTCGGTGGACCATCATTCCTAACAGAGGACTCTCCTCTCCCCTCTTGCTACAGGAGCTTCGAGAATAACTGGAATATCTACAAGCTGCTGGCTCACCAGAAACCTGCTCAGACCAAGGTAAACTCTTAGGCTCATAGTATTGAGACAGCTGGGCTTCTCCGTCAGGCGCTTCACTAAGAGAGCCCCAAACAGTGGGGGCTGGATAAGGCTCCGCCACAGTACCCCTCACTGACTGTTATCCCCATGTGGGGTGTCGCAAGTTACTCAACTTGCAACTTCTTTGCAGAACGTAATTTTAAAGTTGCATCTGGTGAGACTCTGACGCAGTTCTGCAGTCAGTTCTGAGCACTGTACCCCTGGAAGGATATATCAGAATTGTATCAGGGTTAAAAGGGTTAAATTATGACAACAGGTTGCATGGACTAAGCTTGTGTAGGTTTGGGTAAGGAGGTGTAGCAAGGATCAAACTGGGGCGTTTAAGAGGATCCAAGGAGTTTGTAGGATAGCGAGGGTGGTGGGGGCGTCACCAACGGCAAGTGGATATTATCAGGAAGCACAACTTCATATTTCTTCAATGGGAAACTGAAATTTGAAGCCCCCCCAACCCCCCCCAGGAAAGCAATTGAGGGCATCAGTTGAACACTTTGGAAATTAGATTGTTGGATTTATGTTAGGCAAGGATGCTAAGAGAACCAAGGTCAGTAAATGAAGTTAAGATTCAGATCTAATTGAATAAGGGTAGAGTATACTTGAGGGACTGAATGGTCTCTTGTTCCTATGTCCCTCAGTTCACCAGAGTTGAGAGAGTGCCCATCCATAGTGCATACAGGTCTCCAACTACCTATTTCTTTTTATGGTTCAGACATAGGATAGTAAGCCGGTATTCAGTGTCCCTGCCCGACTCTGGGATGAGACGTGTTAGGATGCCCCCAAGCACTTGCGCCATCACTGATGGGCAGCCAATCTGAGCTGCTTGATTCAATGGTGGACACTCGAGTTCTGAGCCCTTCGAGAAGGCTCTGAAGTTCCCTTTCCCCTCCTCAGACAATCTTCGGGGCTGATTTCTGGCCCTTCACAGACAGCCACTGGCATATGGGAAGTGAAGAAGTGTGGGAGACGCCTGTGTTAGTCTGCCACTAGCTCCCCCATGCAAGGTCGGCTGTGATTCAAAAGAGTTCTACAGTTGCAGCATCTTGCTTACTCTGGCCCAGCTCCATGACTACATGGCCTTCCACCTCAAAAACTGCTATAATTAGCAGCAGGGTCTGCACTGCAATTGCTCTAGAGGTTGCATAAAATGATGTTATCATATCACCATTCGGCCCATTGAGTTCATGCTGGCTCTCTGCCAAAGTAATTTAACCAGTCTCAATCCTTTCCCACAGTTCTGTTTATTTATTTTTCTCTCTATCTAATTCCCTTTTTTTTGAAAGCCGTCACACTCTCTCGAGCACTTCTTTATGTAAAATTTCTTTCCTCGTGGCACCATTTTTTTTTTCGTTCTTAAATCTTATGTCTTCTGGTTCTCAATCCTCTGGCTGGAAAGTGGCAAACCCAGGAGTGAGGTGAGACCCAAGAGCTATTTGTGGCTTGGCCTGACATCGTGTTCTACTGATGGACACCCTTTGCAGTGTTCTGCCTCCGTTTTTTCCTCTACGAGCAGAGAAGGAAAACCATGCTATGATAGTTAGCCCAATTCCAATATAGCATTGTTTCAGAGATAGTAGGAACTGCAGATGCTGGAGAATCTGAGATAACAAGGTGTAGAGCTGGATGAACACAGCAG